AGGGTTTGACATATTTGTACTGTTGTTCCTGCTAGTCACTCCTCATTCTCGTTTCTCATTCTGACAAGGAGAGGCGCCAGAGGTGAGGTCAAAGAGGGAGAAACCGTCTGCCCTATCGCACTGTAAGAAGAGCTGCAGGTCATCTACCCAAACCTCAAAGTCAATGGCTCGACCCTCAGCGTCAAAATTGAGAACACTAGGGGTAGCCATAACAGCAGTAGACTAGCGAGACCAGCTGTAGGACAGGGGCAGTGCAGTGACAGAAGCGCTGTTCTCACCGGACAGGACGAGTCGTGCAGCTCAGTAGTGCAGTAACACGGCAACACGGCTGCTCGGACGGCTCAGTAGCGACTGCGGCTCCGCGGCACCGGCGACTCGGCTGATCAGGCGGCTCGGGCGGCTCGGGCGGCTCGGGCTGCTCAGGAGAGTCGGGCGGCTCGGGCGGTTCGGGCAGCTCGGGTGGCGCGGGCGGTGTAGGGCGGCAGGGCCGCTGGTGTACGGTGGCGGGGCCGCTGAGTAGGGTGGCGGGGCCGCAGGAGTAGGGCGGCGGGGCCGTAGGAGTAGGGCGGCGGGGCCGCAGGAGTAGGGCGGCGGGGCCGCAGGAGTAGGGCGGCGGGGCCGCAGGAGTAGGGCGGCGGGGCCGCAGGAGTAGGGCGGGGGGGCCGCAGAAGTAGGGCGGCGGGGCCGCAGGAGTAGGGCGGCGGGGCCGCAGGAGTAGGGGGGGCGGGGCCGCAGGAGTAGGGCGGCGGGGCCGCAGGAGTAGGGCGGCGGAGCCGCTGATTGGGGCGGCGGGGCCGCTGCAGAAGGGCGGCGGGGCCGCTGCAGAAGGGCGGCGGGGGCGCTGAGCAGGGCGACGGGGCCGCTGCAGAAGGGCGGCGGGGCCGCTGAGCAGGGCGGCGGGGCCGCTAGGTAGGGCGGCGGGGCCGCGAGGTAGGGTGGCGGGGCCGCGAGGTAGGGCGGCGGGGCCGCGAGGTAGGGCGGCGGGGCCGCGAGGAAGGGCGGCGGGGCCGCGAGATAGGGCGGCGGGGCCGCGAGGTAGGTCGGCGGGGCCGCGAGGTAGGGCGGCGGGGCCGCGAGGTAGGGCGGCGGGGCCGCGAGGTAGGGCGGCGGGGCCGCGAGGTAGGGCGGCGGGGCCGCAAGGTAGGGCGGCGGGGCCGCAATTAGGGGCGACGGGGCCGAAGAGACGGGCGGCGGGACCGAAGCGACGGGCGGCGGGGCCGCTAGGGGAAAGGGCCGCTAGGGCGAAAGGGGCCGCTAGGGCGGCTCGACGAGGTGAGAGCCCGAAGCGCGACTCGGGCGGAACGCGCTTCGGGCAGGAAAAAAAAAGTCGATGTGGTGGGCCCTAGGCACAGTTCCCACGGGGGAACCTGCTCGATACCATGAGAAAATGTGAACGAGAATGGATGACTAAGGAATGGAAGTGATACAAATATGTAGCCCTAGAAATGTGTACCCCATATAGGCTACCCCACTATAGCCTACACAATAATATAATTTGACAACGGGGCCGCTAGGGGTGGCGCGAGGGGCCGTGAGAGGGGCCTCTAGGAAGGCGCGACGGGCCGCTAAGGGCAGGGGACGCGACGAGAGGGCGGCCCACGGGGCGCGCCTCGGGCAGGGGCGACTCGCGCTCTGGTCCGAAAAAAATATATTCGATTTTCAGTGGTGGGCCCTAGGAAGCGTTCCCACTAGGGAACCTGCTCTATAACATGTGAAGAAATGAGGAATGAATGTACTAGGAAACAGGTGGGTACAAGTAGGAAAACCTTAAAGTGTTGTACCCCATATTTTCTACCCCACTACAGCCTACACAGACTAAAGCATATAAGTTTGACATCATGAGGAGAGGACGTCACAACGCCAGACGCGGGAACCGACACATCATCAGTAATCACAGCAACCACTACTAATAGTAGGCACAAAAGCACTAAAAGAGAGCAGGGGGGTAGTGCTAGTAATGCTTACAGAGCAAGAGGAAGAAAGGTGACGTCGTTCGTCGCTCCATGGTAGTAGAGAAGGGCGAAATGAAAATGACGACTCTGGAATGAAAAGCTCAGGAGCTGGTGACCCAGAATGATGACCCAGAAGGAGATATTCTCCATCTTTTCAGCCTCTGTGGGCTTGAGATGAGATCATTGATCCCATATGCCGCATGCTAGGCCAGCAGTTGGCAAGACATCTCAAAGTTATGGTCAGGAAGCGCATACGCCGACAGGCCGTCCAATCATGGCGGGTCAAGAGGCGGAAAGCGCTCCTCAGTGGAGCATTGCCCTACCTTAGAATGGATAGGGTACAATCGATGCCGCCCAACCTTCCCAACTTCCTTTTTTGAAACCAATCCCTTGTGCATGTGTAGGGTTTCGAGGGAAGTGTTAGTCACAATACAGAAAATGCGAGGCCAGGAGGTTGTTCGGGATCGTGGGGATAGGAGGATGATCCAATTTCAAATCTGCGATTGCAGCCGCCCTGGGCGCCGCCGTCTGCATTTGTTCGCCACGTATGCAGCGGTTCGTCGAAGCTGCCCTCTTGACATGTGCGTCCGACAACGCGACCAATCAGGCGTCACCCGGATCAGGCGCACACTCGGAAGCTTCAAAAGGACAGACTTTCTCTTGTCCATTGTGGTTAGCGCTCCAGAGCTGTAGCCGCACTACGTCCACCTTACGAAAACTCAGTTCAAGCCGCCTTAACTTTCGTTCACTTTACGAAAAGTCAGTTCCTGCTTCGTCCGTTTGAACTGTACAACAATGCCACACAACAGAACAGACACAGCTAGCAGTTCGATTGCCAGTGTAAAACCAGGGTATCATGTGGTAGAAGTGCTTTGAAGTCGGTGGTAGGAGGTTGATACAGATTGGTGGAAAGCGGACACAAAGGCAGTGTTCGCCAGCACCTTTGAAAGAAAAAACGACGTATAACGACGGGATCAGGAAGGTCAGTCTCGCCTTCTTGATCCCGTCAGTTAGGGTTCATTAAGCTCCGTCAGGCTGGTCAGCCCGAAAAAATGCTGCCGAGCCTCTCATGCCGTCCGTTTCAAATGGAACTTTGGTGCCTGGCAAACACCCTCACTTTTCTCAAATTTTGAACAGCATCATGGCATTCGGAAATGGGGAAGTGATTTCCTCCCCGGGCAAACGAGAGTCCCATGCCATCCCATGGCAACCCACCATTTCATGGTGGATTGCCGTGGGATAGCGATGTCATTGGCTGTCAGAGGCTAGAGTGGGAAGGTGGGGAGGCAGGTTCCATGGCGGTGTTCGCCAGCACATCTAAATAAAGAAAGGCCTCGGAATGGCCGTGGAATCACGAACCAGAGGAGGAACCTCCCGAATAGGTGTGGGGGGAATGGCCAAAACGCAAAATTTCGCGCCAGAAAGGGGAAGGGTGGCAACGGGATCAGGAACCACCCTCCCCACCTTCCAATTCCCCGTTTCCCCCCCTCCACATCCTTCCAATCCCATGGCCATTCCAAGGCAATTCTGCTTGGGGGGGTGAATGGCGATGGAATGGCAACGGGACTAGCGTTTGCCTGTAGAGGAAGCTCCCAACCCACTTTCCTGCCTTCACGATTCCATTCGAAATGAATGACAAGGAGGGCGTTCGACAGGCCAACATGATTCCGTTTGGTTCGGACGGAATCATAGGCTCGGCAAGAATTTCGCGGGCTGACCTGCCTGAAGGACCCTAACGAACCCTAAGGGCACGTGTGGTCTTACAAATTTGTGAAAGTTTATGTTTTTAGGTCGAATGTAGCATTTGAACAAAACTCGACTTTCTTTCCAGCGAAGTTCGAATCTTGGGTCTCCAACACAGACGAGTCACAATCACACACCCAAGGTCGAACACAGAGATTCGACCTTTTAGGAATGGCGGCGAGCCGTCCGTAGGGGAGTAGGTTACCTGGTACAGCGCGACACGTTAACGTAATGCGCAACGAAGCTCAACGACCTTCGCAAAGCGGTCGCGATTTTCGGATGGCCTTCGTACGTGCTGAAAACAACACACACTCGCCTCACGTGCACCCGCACGTTCACTCGTGTGATTCGAGTTGAGTTCACATTTGACATTCGAACTTATGTGCCCCAAAATTCTCATGCCTTCGCCAAAGCTTCCTGACGACATTAGCGAAGCTGGTAACCACACAAAGTTCGACCTTTTTCCCGAACTTGAAAATAAATCACACGCGCCCTAACGGGGGGGATCAGGAAGCCGAGACTGACCTTCCTGATCCCGTCATTTTTGTTGTTAAAAGTGCTGGCGAACAATGCCCATATGCGGTTGTCACGTTTCCCATTTCGGGGCCCGAAATTTCGCGAGTGGCATTTCGCCCAGACCTCTTCGGAGGGTTCCGGCCCCGCTTCCCGATGCCGTGGCCATTCCGATGCCGTCATTTTTTTTCCAAGTTTGCATGTGCTGGCGAACACCGCAGCACAGTTGGGTTGTGTCCGAACCCGAAACCCTCAATGGTTTGTGTTTTGCTTCACAACGCAACCCTCGCCTCACCGCTCCCCCTTTTCACCTCGCCAACCAAATTGTTCAACCTTGTGCTGACGGATGTTGACAGAGGCGTTGTGTGCGAGAGCTATTACACGCTCGCCCAACTCTTCGCGACACTTTCCGAAGGGGGGGAGGGGGCCCGAGTGACGAGTCCCAAGTTGGAAGGAAGCACGTTTCTGAAGGAGGTGAAGGAGGTCCAGCGGGATCACAAGTCTTGCCCCGTGCGGTCTGCAACTTGAGCTGAGGGACCCTGGTTGAGGAAAAAATCTTTTTTATCCGCGTGGTTAGTTAGTTGCGCACCTACGTGCACATTTATATAGCGCAAGTAAACCCTTTACAGCACCTGTCATCGGCTACGAACAGACCGACACAGCTGGGCTGCTGCTCCTCACACCGCTTGCAACCCGCTTGCTTAGTAGGGGAATATAACACAGCCCGTGAGGGTTTAGCGTAATTCGGGTGGGTCTGGTGTAGGCGTAAGTGGTGTCGACGGGGGTTTCGCGATGGCGAAGTGGGAGGTGAAGGAGGGAAATATGGGGAGCGATGAGGAAGAGTTGGTGGGCGATGGAACAGAGGAGGAATTAGAGGAGCGAGAGGAGGAAGAGGAGGAAGGAGAGGAAGAGGAGGAAGGGGATGAAGGGAAGGAGGAGGAAGGGGAGGAAGGGGAGGGTAACGAGGAGGGGGAGGAAGGAGAGGAGGGTGAGGAAAATGAGGGGGGAGATGCAGCGGGTGCGCGTGGGTTGGATCGGCTACGAACGAACGAAGGCGCCACCGAAGGGCGGAGTGATTATAGCGAGAGTGATAGCGATGAGGGCGACGCGGATCGAAGCGGAAGTGACGGGGACGGCGGAACGATGGGCGCAGAGAATGGGCTTGGGAACGGGCGGAAGCGGCGGAAAGGGGATGGAGAGGGGGGGGAAGAGCAGGGAGAGGGCGGGAAGAGAAAGCAGGCGAAATTGGCGAAAGGGAAGAAGCGACACAAAACTGGCGTGTGTTACCTTTCGAGAATACCCCCTCGCATGAAACCCTTGAAGCTGCGTCACTTGCTGTCGCCGTACGCGGAAATCCTTCGGATATACCTCGCACCTGAAGGTACACCCGCCCCTTGAATCACCTCCTCCCACTTCAAGGTTCGCGGTTCGAGATTCCCCTGGGTCCTGAACTTGAACCTGTCGCGTTAGCGGCGACGGCGGAGTAGCACGGGATGGAAGCTTAGGACACCCCGGTACACGGTTTAACGGTTTAAGGCACTTGCTCCGATTCTGGATCCGATTAGATTTGATGCTAAGTGGTTTCGGGTTTCTATTTCAGCGCACTGTCACTGGTGCTTCGGCCTTGCACCAGTGCAATCAAAACCCTGCAATGTGCCCTCGTCCACCAGCATCCACCTCCCACCACCCGTGGATCCTTGGGTATCCCACTAGTATATTCGTTCTCTTCCTCCCTCACACACCTAAACCTGCATCCCTTCGCTGCTCCCCGAAACATCTACTATTGTAGAACCTACCTCGCCCTTCCATAACTCCGCAAAAACCCCTGTCTCAATCTCTCGTCAGGGTTAAGGGTTTCGGGTTTTGAAACGTCAATCCCCACCCTCTCACCTCCTCTCCGTCCCAATCCCCTTCTCCCCCCCCCCCTCTTACCACCCCTCTGTTCGCCCGCTGCGCCCCTCGCCTTGACAGACCCAGCAGCTCGCCAGCGCCGGCGGGCAGCGGGGGGCAGCCGAAACAAAAACTTCACAGAAGGGTGGGTCCTGGTTGCAGATTGATTCTCCGGGCCAGAAGGGTGGGGTAGGCTTGTTGCCGAAAGGGCAGGTCGAGGGTTTACGAGTTGATTGGTCCGGAAAGGTGTTTAAGAGTTGCTTGCGATCGAGGAGCTTGTTCAAGGGCAGGTTGAGCGTTACCAAGATTGCCAAGCCAATATCTTTTATCTTGTCCTTCGCCGTCATACTTCCAAGAAAGATTGCCAGGTAGAGAGCTGCCTAAAAGCATACAACAGTATTCAAAGCCTAAAGCCTGAGCTTCCCCGTATCCCTCCTCCCTGCTCTCTCTCAGGCTGCAGTGCTGCTCTTTTTCTCACGCTCCCGTCTGCTGCTCCCGCTTTCCTTCCCCCCCTAACCCCAACACACCGAACCTCCTTGTTCCCTGCCTGCACCCATGGTATGTGTGACGGCGTGGGCAGGTGGGTGGAGTTCGCACGGAAGAGGGACGCCAAGCGAGTGGCGGTGCTGCTCAACGGCCAGCCCATGGGTGCGTGCATGCCTCTCAGCCCTGCCTCTCTCACAACACAGGCGTCACTCTGCTTGCTTTACCAGATCCCTCTCCGCTGCTCTTATCTTCTCCTAGACCCCTCTTCTGGGTCACAGCTTTCTCCTCCTCCGTTCCTCTCATACCTCTTTCTTTCTCCTCCCGTTTGTTTCCCTCTTAAGTATCCTTGTCTTCTCGCTTCCTTTAAGAATCCCCTCTGTCGTCTTCTCTACTCCCCACACCCTTTGTCCACCAACCACCGGTTCCGCTCCTCCCTCGTGCCCTGTCCTCCCTCGTGCCCTGTCCTCCCTCATGCCCTGTCCTCCCTCGTGCCCTGTCCTCCCTCGTGCCCAAGGTGCAAAAAAATGACGTTTTTTTCAATTTTTGATCGTAAAATACCGTATCGTAAGAAACGATCGTAAAATACGATAAAAAACGGTTTTTGAAAATAAATACTTTGGTGCAAAAAAACCTTCGTTTTTTTCAGTAAAAAGACCAAGACTGCTGCTGAAACAAGGGGATTGACTGGTGAGAAGAACAAGGGGGCCGTTAGAAGTGCTGATGATGCAGCGGAAGTTTGTTAGAAGTGCTTTTGTGATCAGAACAGCATCTTTGAAGTTGAAGAGTTTTTTTTGTCTAACAAAGAAACGACGTTTTTTTCCCAGATGATACCGTAAAAAATCATGGAAAAAAACAATCGTATTTTTCGACAATCGTTTTTTTCTACCTTGCTCGTGCCCTGTCCTCCCTCGTGCCCTGTCCTCCCTCGTGCCCTGTCCTCCCTCGTGCCCTGTCCTCCCTCGTGCCCTGTCCTCCCTCGTGCCCTGTCCTCCCTCTCGTGCCCTGTCCTCCCTCCGGGCTCCCCCTCTCGACCCCCCTCTCTTCCGTCCGAAGCACCCGTTCTGCCCTTCTCTCATGTGGCCTGGTTCTGCCCTAAACCCAAAACTCTAAACCGCTGACACCACAGCTTTGATCTGTAGTGTTCCTTTCTCTCCTTCTGTAATGCCCACTTCTGTCTTGAGCCCTCCACTAGTGTTTTCGCCTCTGTCTTTGAGAATGCCCATTTCTGGTTAACCTTCCCACCCGCCCTCCCCACCTTCCCATACTTTCTCCACCCGTGTTCCGCCCCGTCCTACTGTTGTTCCTCTTGCTTTCAAACGGCAAAGATTGTTCGCACCACTGTTTTGGCTTGTGGTGTTTCGTCCTCTTCACAATTTTCCCTCAATCTACCCCCCCCTCCAAACCTCCGCCCCTCCTCTTTTGCCGTTCTTTCTGGCCTCGTGCGGCAAGAACCGCTCACACAACCTCATTGACCTGACCTATGGTTCTTCTTCCTCTTCTTTTTCCCTTCAATGCCCACCAAACTCCCCTTCTTTCGCGTTTTCCAGGCGGCAAGAATCGCTCGCACCACCGGTTTGACCTGTGGACGATTAAGTATCTCAAGCGCTTCAAGTGGGACAACCTCAGCGAGGAGATGGGTGAGTGCAGTGCAGTGCAGTGTGGTGCAGCGCGTGCAAGGGCTGATGAGAGGCTGAGGGAAGGTTGAGAGGTGAGTGGGGGGCTGAATGGCACGCATGCAGGGCGTGGTTTGTGAGAGAGGTGCGGGCCTGTGGACAATCAAGTACCTGAGCGAGGAGATGGGTGGGCCGATGGGTGGACTGGACGGAAGAGAGGCTGAGGGAAGGGTTGGGTCAGTGCAGGGGCGAATGGCAGGCAGGCATGCAAGTCACGGTTTGTGAGAAAGATGCTGACTGACGTGCGTACCACCAAGTACCATAGGCGTTGTTAGTGTTACGACCTGGGTGAGCTGCTAAGAGGCTGAGAGAGGCTAGCGAGGCGAGGGGGTGGGTGAGTCGACGAGTGGATGGGATGAGAGGGGAGGGAGGAGGCGCGTGATGGCATGTGTGCATGGCAGCTTGTGAGCCAAGCCCTGGGTGGAGCAGAATGGCAGGCAGGCACGGTGAGGGAGATGCGGAGCAGAGCGAGGTGAGGACTGAGGCTTGCTGCCCTGCCCCTCACCGGGATGATCAAGAGTTTAAGCTTTTTGCTTCTCATCATCATCATGCCTCCAATCCCCTCATCTCCTCTCCCATCCCCATTTTTCCCCCCTCCCCGCCTCTCATCTCATCCCCCGCCTCTCGTCCCCGCTTCACACTTCTCATCCCCTGCTCCCATCTCTCATTCCCCTTCTCCCTTCCCATCCCCCTTCCCCTCTCCCATCCCCACTCATTCCCCGCACAGCCAACCGCCATGCCATGCAGTAGGGGGGCAGAAGCTGGAGGCAGAGCCAATCCCGCGCGTCACAGGCTGCTCTTCCCATCCCCTCCTTCGTCCTTCCCTTCTCCCCTCTCATCGTCCCTCTTCCCTCTCATGCTCCCCCTGCCTACCAGCACGCAGTGAGGGAGCAGAAACTGGAGGCAAGATGCTGGTGGCGGCGATTGTGGTCTATGTGGCTGCTCCCCTCTCATCCCCCCTCCCCTCTCCCCTCTCCCCTGTCATCCTGACTCACAGCGTACCGCCGGGCGGTGAGGGAGCAGAAGCTGGAGGCGGAGATGCGGGTGGCGGCCAAGGAGAGGGACGCGTATGTGACGCGCGTGCAGCACAGCAAGGTGCTGCAGCGCCGCCAGGCCAAGGCAGCCAAGAAGGTGTGTGTTTGTATGCGCGTGTGCATGCGTGTGCGTGCCTGTGTGTGGTGCGTATTGAATGGGAGGGATGCATATGTGACGTGTGTGCAGCAGAGCAAGATGCTGCATGTGTGTGTGTGTGTGTGAGGGTGGATGGATGTGTGTATGCGTGTGCGAACGCGCGCGTGTGTGCGTTGTGTGTGCGCATGTGCGTGGTTATTCCTGTGATGCCTATAGAAGGAGAGGGATGGGTATGTGACGTGAGTGGAGCAAGGTGCTGCAAAGCAAAGGTGCTGCAGAGGTGGTCAGCCAAGGGCGCTAAATAGGTGGAGGGGGATGGTGGATGGGTGGGTGCGTGTATGGTTGGGAGTGTGCTTGCATGTGTATGGGTGACAAAGGAGAGAGATGAATATGTGATACGCGTACAGAACAAGGTGCAGCAGAGCAAACTGATGCGAAAAAAAAAAAGTATGTATATATAACGCAAGCGAGTATACCCGATACGCACCATCCACCGGTGTGTAATCTGTCTGTGAACATAGGGAGGAAGGGAGCAAGGGAAGAAAGCTTTGGATCTCTCCCACAACAACTGCCTTGCCAAGCTGTTGTGACATGAAGCCTTCCCACATGTTGTCATTTGCATATCGCATGCCACTTCACCCATCTAGTACATGTCCACCTGTCATGAACTTGACCATCCCTGACCCTCCCAGACCCTCCCTTCCCCCTCTCCCTCCTCTCTCCCACGCCTCCATTCCTTACCATCCTCTCTCCTCTCTCCTGCTCCCGAATTACCTGTGCCAGGCCAAGCCAGCAGCAGCAGGGGCGGAGGGAGGGGAGGGGGCAACGCAGCAGCAGGTTCGACAGCCTGTGCGGCACTACATCCAGCGAGGAGCAATAGGGGAGGGCCAGGAGCAGGAGGAGGGTAGACTCATGTCCCGAGGCGTGCTGGGGAAGGTGAGAGGTGTGCTGGGGAAGGTGAGGGAGACTGGAGTGATGGGATTGCAAGGGAATGTGGTGGGGGTGTGAATGGCACACTGATGCAGCAGTGTGTCGTTTCGCTCAACGGTGCTCCATTGACTGGTTTCCATTGAGGTGTACCTGTCCTTGTGAGTCATGCCATGATGCGACTTGTCCTTGTGAGTCATGCGATGATGCGAGTTGCCCCCCCTCTCCGTCCCTCTCGTTCTTGAACCCTTTCTTTCGCCATCTGCTTTTTCCCCCTGCTCCCCACCCTGCTTGCCCCCTCTGCTCACCCTGCGCCCTTCTCTCTCTCCCCATTGTATTGCAGGTACTAGGCTGACCTGACCGCCCTCACAGCAGCTGTATCACTACTAAGGGCGGATTCCTGGCTTCGGGACATCCGCTCTTTGAGTCATGCGAAAATGTGGGTTCCAATCGGAAATCCTCAATCTCGAATCTGGAAATTTACGATTGGATCCCACAATTTCGGATGACTCAAGGTGCGGATGTCCCGAAGCTAGGAATCCGCCCTAAGTATCACTGTGGGAGGTACCCCACCCCATGCAAACACAGACACCCTGGCTCAAGCTGCCACCATTCTTGCATGTGGATTAGATTTGAAACATATGCCCTTTTCAATCCAGCATATACAAGAGATGGTAAACAAAGTTCCACACCATTGCTTCTCCCACAGGCCCTATATATTTAGCCTCTGCTGCTGAATTCCAAAACCAAAACCTGCTTCTAGTACTTTTGACAAAGCAAGTGTAGTGCTGATCGTTATGCCCACAGGTATCATCGGGTCGAGGAGCCGCAATGAGCCAAGCCAATCATTGAGGAACGCCAGGCTGTACCGGCCTAAGCGCTTCGCAACAACGTCGTTCATATGCGAAATGAGGCCGTTTGTTCCAAAACTGCAGCGGTCGTTGAGCTGTTTCGGAGGGATGCTTCGGTACAGAAACCAAGGGCCCCTGGCAGGATACGTCTCAAATTCAACCTGCCCCGGAAGTTGCTGCTGCTGCTGCTGCTGCTGCTGCTGCTGCTGCTGCTGCTGCCGCTGCTGCTGCTGCCGCTGTGCGAGTTCCATTTCGGAGTGAACCCACTGCAGGAAGTTGGGCAGAAAGTATCCAAACGCGTTTTCGGGCTCGTCGCAAAGAGAAGTCGTCCAGAAGCCGCTGTCTACAAGAGTCACTCGGCTGTGGTCGAAATGTTTGGGAACTTAAGCGTTTCAAGTGACGAGGCAACCTCGCTTCTGCAGTGCAGGGTAGATCGTGGAAAACTGAGGGTAAGAGAGAAGGGTGCGTGGAGTGTGTTTGGAAACCAGGGCACAAACTGGATACACATACAAGAACAGCAAGTGGACTTGACTGAGAGTTGAAGAACGAAAGGATCAACACAACGGGATGAAGAACGAAAGGATCAACACAACGGGATGAAGAACGAAAGGATCAACACAACGGGATGAAGGGCGAAAGGATCAACACGACAGGATGAAGAGCGAAAGGATCAACACAACGGGATGAAGAACGAAAGGATCAGCACAACGGGATGAAGAACGAAAGGATCAACACAACGGGATGAAGAACGAAAGGATCAACACAACGGGATGAAGAACGAAAGGATCAGCACAACGGGATGAAGAACGAAAGGATCAACACAACGGGATGAAGAACGAAAGGATCAACACAACGGGATGAAGGGCGAAAGGATCAACACAACGGGATGAAGAGCGAAAGGATCAACACAACGGGATGAAGAATAAAAGGATCAGCACAACGGGATGAAGAACGAAAGGATCAACACAACGGGATGAAGAACGAAAGGATCAACACAACGGGATGAAGAACAAAAGGATCAGCACAACGGGATGAAGAACGAAAGGATCAACACAACGGGATGAAGAACGAAAGGATCAACACAACGGGATGAAGCAGTCAAGTCACAACCATCTACGAGATAACCGCACCTGCATCCAAAAGGCCCGTCGACGAAAATCCCTCCGATCCAATAGAAATTGAGCTTCAGGGGCTGCAAGTCGGGGCTCGGAGGTGGCACGAGCACTTGAAAGTCCTGATGGAACCTCACAGTCGTCTCATTTGTTGGGCTGAGTGCCCCTTAGGATCTTTGGTAGGGTTAAACTCTGGGTAGAGTGATGTAGTAGCGGAAGCGTTTAAATGAAGTCCTTGAACCACCTTGCGCTGGTATGTGAGGGCAAAGTAAGTTGATTAAAACAAGCAAGTACAAAGGTTTATATAAGAGTACAAAGAATACGAAGAGATATAATTAAACTGTTTTGCAGTTGCGGTTCGATACAGTGCGACTCGGGCAACTGCTCAATGTCGAGTCAGTTGTGTGTCCTTGCTGTCGCGCTGCATTTGTCAAGTCAAAGGTCGCTGACCTTTGACTTTCGCGTAACCTCCAGCGGTTACTTCAACCTCCAAGGGTTGACTCGCTGGTGCCTCGATATGCTCTGCTTCGCTTGTGCCTTGGTGTGTCGACACGACAGAGGCGCTTAAGATTGCTTGTTCCCAACACTCCCCTTCGCTTCTGGAGTGTCGCTGCTGGTGACGTGGCTTTGTCCAGTCAGCAGCATGCAGTACTTGAACTTCTGTTTTCCGAGCTTCTTGGTCAAGTAGTCAGCTGCCATCTCTGACGTGGGACAGTAGGATAGTTCAAGTCTCCCCTTCTCAATCTCGTCTTTCACGAAGAAATATCGCAGAGCGATATGCTTCGTTTTGTTCGCGAATCCATTTTTGTTGGCGATGCGAATTGCAGATTGGTTGTCGCAGAACAGAGTGAAGTTGGGTAACTCGGCTAACTTTGCTTCTTCCAGCAGCTCGCGAAGATAGAGTCCTTCCTTGGTGGCTGAGCAGAGTGCAATATATTCTGCTTCAGCTGACGAGAGAGCAATTAATTTCTGCTTGTTCGATTGCCACGAGATCGGTCCGATAGGTTCGAGGCGGTAGATGTAGCTGGTGCGGGAGCGCCTGTTGTCGGAGTCGCCAGCGTGATCAGCCTCGACGTAGCAGATTAATTTAGTCAGTGTAGTTGTGTTCTTGTAGTAAGTTAGGCCGATCGTTGAGGTACTGACAAAGTAGTGGAGAGCGCGGTCGAGCTCCGCCAGGTGTTTTGCTTCAGGCTTCTTGAGGTAGGTGGTGAGCTGGCTTGCGGAGTATGAGAGGCCGGGGCGGCAGGTGACAGCTGCGAAGAGAAGGCATCCTAGCTTTCTCTGGTAGTCGCGTATCCCGACGGATTTGAGTAAAGAAGATCTTTCCTTGTGGTTTCCTGTCGCGTAGCGGTAGGGCGTAGAGATGGTGGTAGGTGTGAGCGCGAAGCGTTTGGCGATGGTGTCGGCGTACTTAGCGGCGTTGGGGTAGATCGCGCCTTCTTCTTCCCGAATGTTCAAGCCGAGGTACTGTGTGACGGTAGAGGAGACCGTGAGTGTGAGGTCCCTCTGTAGCTCCCCTTCGAACCAGGTGGTGATGTCGTGAGTGGAGCCAATGTAGAGTAAGTCGTCTACGTAGACGATCAGCAGAATGTAGTCGGTGTCTTTAGTGAGTCGGTACATTCCTTGGTCGTGAGGTAGTTGGCGGAATCCGATGCGAATGAGGCGAGCGTGTAGGTACTGTTGCCATAGCCGCGGAGCTTGCTTGATCCCGTAAAGTGATTTCAGCAGTTGACAGACTTGGTTAGGTTCCCCGTTGGTACCGTGTGGGAGCTCGACAAAGATTTCCGCGTCGATAGGTGCGTAGAGGAACGCGTTGGCGACATCGATTTGCCGTAGCTTCCTTTTCTTCATGGCGGCGATCGCGAGGAGGATTCGAAGTGAGGTATGTCGGCTAACCGGGGCGAATGTCTCGGTGAAGTCCCGTCCGTGCTCCTGATCGAATCCACGCACAACCCAGCGTGCTTTGAACTTCTCAATTGTGCCGTCTGCTTTTGTTTTAACGCGGAAGACCCATTTCCCGGTGAGAATGGTCTTGTTCCTTGCCACGCAGATGGGGACAAATTTCCAGGTGTTCTGTTCCTCCAGCGCCTTTAACTCTCTGTCCATGGCTTCACGCTATTTTTCCCTGTGTTCCCCCCCCCAGAGCCTGCTGCACCGTCGCAGGCTCCTTAGGAAGAGTGTTGCCGTGGACTGCGGTGACGAGTCCGAGAATCTGCACTCCAGTCTGTGGGTAGCGGGGAAGAGTTGCATCCTCGGGATAAGCTGCTTCATCTCCCGCTTCTGGATCAGGTATGAACTTCGGTCCTACTCGTTTTGTTTCGTTGGTGTTGACTGTCGCAGGTGTTACGTAACCGTTGTCGGCGAAGTAGTAGAAGGTTTCGGCGTTGACACTTTCGCGAGGGTTATCTTCGTCCATGGGGACGTCGACGGAGCAGAACGGAAGGGGTCCAGCTTCTTCTGATGCGTTGGCCACATTCTGCTCGTCCCAGTCAGCTTCGTCTGCTGCCGAGGCGAAGGCTCGGTCACCACGAAAACCACCTGTGGGATCTTGGTCCTCTTGCAGGTTGGCAAGGTATTTCTGGAGCGTGAGTCGTTCGTAGAAAATGACGTCGCGTGCTGCTACTGTTTCCTTGGAGTGGACGTCAAAGATTTTCCACGCGTTGTAGTTCTTTTCGATGCCGAGGTGTAGTCCCCACTGTGCGTGTTGTGAAAATCGGCCCGCTCGTGCTGGTAGGGGTCGGTACTGTACCATGCATCCGAATACTCGTAACATTTTTGTGCTGCCCTGTTTTCCTGTCCACAGCAGATGCGGTAATGCGTTGTTCAGTAGTGATGAAGATGAGAGCAAGTTGTGCAACATGACAGCATGGTCCATTGCATCAGGCCACTGGTGGTTGGGTAGCCGCATGCCACGCAACAGTTTGCGCATGCTGTTCTGCAGAGTCCTGTTCATTCTTTCTGCTATACCTTGCTGCTGATGGGCGTAGGGAAGAGAGAGGAGCTGCTTGATTCCCCTTTCCGCCAAGTACTGCTTGAATCGCTGAGAGGTGTATTCTCCTCCTCCGTCAGACTGGAAGCTTTTCAGCTTTACGCCCGACTCTCTTTCTGCTACTGGAAG